AGGGGAAAAAAAAAAAAGAGGGTGAGAAGAAAAGGGCACTCCATGTTTTGTAGCTGCCGTAATAAAGAATGGGCAAAGCACCAGAAAGAAAAGAAAAAGGAAAAGAAACCCTCCAAAGTTTAATAAACACAAAAGGGAATAAAAATAAATCTTTGGAGCATTTATTATAAGCCCTTGATGGAAGGATTAGATTGAAGCTCTCAGCCTTTCCAGTGTGGGTGTATGTGTGAAGTCGGCCTGTCTGGCCTCTTCCAACGAGAAGAGAAAAGTTGTTTACATTTCCTAACTTGGGCTGTGCATATAATTGATTTTTTTGTTTCAATAGCAGAAATGAAAATTCAGAGGGGGGAAAAAAGCCTCGTTTGGATACGTTTGAATTTAGGTCTTTTTCCTCGCCAGAACAAAAGCCCAGCTCTCAGAAGAGCTGTGTCAGAGTGTTTTGTTTCTCCTGAAATGTCAGTACACGCAGTACTTGTGAGGAAAGCTGTGGAAATGCAGGGCTTAGTTCATCAAACACAACTGTGGAAGGCAAAAGTGTCATCCTTTTATGCAGGAGATTCCTGATGTGGGGAGCATCTCCAGCATGAAACAAACTCCTTCCATTCCCACTTTTGGTTTAAGGGAGCTTGACTCCATCTCGCTCTCCTCCCAGAAGCAATGTCTGGGGGTCTACGTGCTGTTTTGGATGGTCGGTCAGAGGATGTGTTCAGTCTCTCCTGTCAACGATGCTCCAACCTGGAGCAATACTGCGTACTGTTGAGTATTTTGGGATAGGTCTGCACCCCTCCCATCAGTGCTTTTCTGCTTTGTCAGAGCAGGGCTGCTTTCTGTCCTAGTTGCTGGCACAGGAGCTTAGAGGATGCTGGAATTTGAACAAAGTCAGTAAGAAGCACAGAAACCACAGTGTCCTTATGCACTTAAACACCCACATACCAGAATACGTTTTAACCTGGCAGTTTGGACTGTCCTGTGTAAAGCAGCTGATGAAGTTTCAGCTTGTTCAAGAAAAAACAAAACCAAAAAGAATAAAAAAACTAAACTTGTGATGCTCGGTGTTCGGCAGGCTAGAGGGAGGAGGGAGGGATGCTGCCTTCACCTTCTCCAACTGTGGTTTATAACTCTTGTCTCAACTGTACTGTGATGATTGTGATTATGGTTATTACAGCTGGAAGTCTTCAGTTTTTTGAGGGTTGAATTAATAATTTAAAGATGATAAAAATGGAATCTTTCATTGCATTTACTATTACCTCTCTCCAGAACAAAAGAAATCTGTGTTTTCCTAGCTACAGGAAACATACTGATTTAATTCCACTCGTTAATGATAATGGTTCAAAGAATACTTAAGGAGTGTAGTCTGCAGCAGGGTAACTGTGTTTGCAGACTAACTTGGTCAGAGTCATCCTGGCGTCTACTGGAGTCATTGGGCCAAAATCAGAGGGGAGTCCAGAGGTATCCAACGGAGTCCGAATTGATACAACTGTCAGGTTAAGGTGGAGTCACAAAGAGAGATAAATTGCAGCATCTGAGATCACTTAAAGGCTAATCCAAAACCTTGCAGACTCCATAGAATTCTTTCCATTCCCTTAAAGAGAGTTGCAAGTCTCAATTCTCCATCTTGATTAATTTTCACGTAAACCCCAATTCTGCAGTCAGCCATTCTTTTTCAGAGGAAGGGTTCCAGCTAGTAAAAAACCCTATTTTTTTCAGCTGTCCATTAGTAATGCCTTTTCCTGAATTGACTTCCTATGGATACTGTCGTGAATGATAGAATAAAGAAATCAAATTTCTTATGTGGGTCTTTTCGAGGTATAAAACTATCTTATAAGAGAGACGAAACTTCTGTAAGGCAAGAATTCATTCTTATTCATGGTGGGTGTCCCACGTCTGCCTTCCAGTAGAAGGTAAATACTTGTCCTCTGTCTATACAAATGCACATATGCAAACACAAAAACATGCACACTGAAAGAGTATTCCTTCTCTGTCTATCTTCCTTCTGTATGAAAGAGAGAAAAAATGTAAATGCACAAATGGTTCAGGAAAATCCATTCAGATACATATTCACAGATTTGTAATATACAGTATCGAAAATATAGAAACTGAAAAGAAAGACTACAAATATAGCATAAGAAAGTTCTAGAAATAAGTTAGAAGCTAAATATAAATCAAACTGACAGTTAAATAGGACTTTTCAATCTGAAATAAAGTCAAGATGGACAGGGTTTGTCTGTGCCAGGGCGAGTGGTTGGCTGTTAGTTTGGCTTGTCCACAGGGAATGAAATGGTAGGTTGATGCCTCAGATAAATGACAGGGAAGGACAACTTACAACTCGTCCTGGAAGCATCAATCTTATATATACATACTATTATGCCAAATTATATTCCTAGTAGGATTAGGTTTGGCTGAAGAACAGTAGTAGTCTCGGAGTTCCCTGTAACAGAAAAATAAGTTGAAGATATTATGTCTCTCTTAAATGAGGATATAATCTCTGAACTGAGTAGCTTTTATAAGAATTTGCAAAACATATGGAAATTAAGATCATTGTTGCATAAAGTTAAGCTTTTCTCAGAAGACCCTCATTTGGTATTTTGAGGATGACCAGCACTAATGTGTTGCTCATGGGAGAGAGGAGCAGTTCTGGTGCGGGGATAATTTACATCTCTTTTTCTTTGAGTTCTTACTATAAGATTGTAGCAGTTTTCTGTCAATGTGCCTGGTAGGCAAGAATACTGATCGTGATGCTTTGGGGTTTATTTTTGAGCATGGCAGATGTGAAAATTTGAGAACCTTTTTTTTGTTTCTTTAATTAAATGGGATCATAAGGAAGCCTGGGGCTTCCTGTTTGTATTTTACCTCTTTACCCATTTGCCATACTGAGAGTCTGCTTTAGGAAGTATTCTTTCAGAGGTTTTTTTTTAAGTATTTTGAGAACATGAGAGTCATCTCTCACTTGTAACACATTTACAGTTGAGGTCAAGATTATTTCTTTACTGTCAAAGATATTCTCATAGCTAGGATTGTTTTTAGGAGTTTTTACCTTTGATCTTTAAAAAAGAGATTTTGGCTCAATTATGTAGAGGATGTGTGTTTGTGAATTTTGTGAAGACAGAATAAATTTGGTTTATTTCTCCTGTGGCTGACTTGTACTTGGTATTTATTCTGTAGTCAGTTTGAATTTAGAATTATTCAAAGAGCTACAACAAATCGGTTATTAAATGGGTAACTGCGAGTGGTGTTGCCTTGTGTAGCCAGGAGCTGCTATGTTGCTCAGAAGTTCTGGTAATAGCAGCCAGTCTAGAAACACTAAGTAATTGGAAGAAGGTCTTTAAGTTATTAATATGTCTTATTGATGAGAATAAACATTAAGGATTTATTCCAACTATCTTTAATCATTAGTAGTTAGAAATAATGGTAAACGTACTGGACTTGGCTTCTCCCATCTCTTTACACAGAAGTGACAACTTGTGTGTATTATATCTATTAAGAATTAGGTATGTTCCAGAAGAAGGTACTTTATTCAGTTGATGGATGCCTGGATTAATGGCCTGGATAGCCAGGGGAGGCTGCGGAGCAGGAGGCCTCGCTGGGATTTCGGACAAGGCCTGGGTCTTTCACAGGCGCTGAACTGCTCACCTCCCTAATGGTGAGGCTGTCATCTCCTGCCACTGCATGACAAATCCTGAGCTACGTGACTAGAGGGAAAACTTTGCATTTTGCAATTATTATCTGAAGTCTTCCTGCTGGCGTGGCCCCAGGGAGGCCTGTGAGCTTTGCTTCCTCAGCTGAAAATCCCCCCCCTCGCCCCCTAAATACAATCTTCTTCTTTCCTTTTTTTCCTCTCTCCACTCCAGTTTTCACACTGTAAGAAAAGAGGAAACCTTTCCCTGGGTTTGAATGGAGTTTTTACTGCCTCTGAGTCATTTCGACTCCTCTCCGAGTTTGGCTCTGCAGTGTGAGGAGAGCCCTGGCAGCAGCAGGGCCAGGAGGGTGCCAGGCACGCAGGGAGGGTGGTCAGGACACCGGGAACACAGGGAGGGTGGTCAGGACGCCAGGAACACAGGGAGGGTGGTCGGGACACCGGGAACACAGGGAGGGTGGTCGGGACGCCGGTGCCGGTTTCTCCTGGTGCTGCTGGCCGGGACGGGGTGGGAAGGCCTCAGACGATCGCTGAACCCTTTAGGGTGACCCAGGTTGTGCAGAAGTGCCTTGCTGCTTAGGCTCAGTCAGGGTTGACAGCTGGGAAGGAGGAAGAGACTGTTTTGAAACCTAAACTGGTATGTTTAACACTGTTACTGAAGACTTGAGTCCATTTTTCTGGGTTTTTTTCTGCTTTCTCCCCAATACATAGTGGGGGGGTTGCATTTATGGCTTTTACTGCTTCCAAGTGGTCAAAATTCATGTAATTCTGCTTATAATGTCTACTACCTGCTTGCCTTTTCCCTCCCTTTCTTCTTCCTCTTCTCTTCCTGCCCTTGTCACTGTAATCAGAATGAATATTTTGTTCCAATAAAACCCTTTAATAACTAAATGTGAAACAAAAACTGAAGCTGGCTAATTTATGCTCCATATTCTGGGGGGAAATGGGCTTCAGAGAACATACAGAATCAGATGAGTTGCTGTTACTTGTTGTCTTAGCAGAACCCTGTGAACTCTATGCAAGTCTGAAGGCATTTTCCAGATACCAACTGCTGTGATTTTTTCCCAATTTATAAGCATCTGGGATTTTCCACCAGTATGTTGAAAGAGGGGAGGTTTAAATGCATGACCTGAAATAGAGTTGGAAATAGTTGTTAATCTCTGTTAATATGGTATTCCTATAATCAAACACATGTGGGGTTGTTCGGGGGTTTTTTTATTAAATTGTTAATAATATTAAATTCACCATTGGAAACTGAATCATGCTACAGATTTTCCCCTTACTGAGGCTGTCTTGTATTACACTGTTTGAAGGAACAATGTATTTTATCATTACAAAAAAATAAAATCATGCTGCCTTCTTGCAGATGCCATCCCACCGAGCTATTACAGCCTCTACTTCCGAATCGTCAGATTTGACGTCTCAGCGATGGAGAAAAACGCCTCCAACTTGGTGAAGGCCGAGTTTAGGGTCTTCCGCCTGCAGAACTCGAAGGCGCGGGTCTCGGAGCAGCGGATAGAGCTGTACCAGGTATGGTGGCACTTTGCACGTGTCAGCTCCCCGTCTTTCTGCAGCAAACTCGCCTTGTACCCATCTAGCAGGTGGAAAAAACCACAGGGAGAAGCGGTTGAGTCCCATCTTTCCAAAGTAGCCTCATATTTCCTGTGCCTTTCCTACAAGGGACTTAATTCAAAATCATATGAAGCTGAAATGTGCAAACTTTTTCTAGCAAATGTCTTCTAGAAGAAACACCCTTTTCTGCGCACTGGACTGTTCAAACATTGCTTAAACGTAGAAAAAGCGTGATTCCCAGTTGAATGCAGTTCAGGTCCACAGGTGGTCACTGGGTGCTTGGCTTCATGACTGCGATCTGGCTGCCTTCTGTCCAAAGGGCAGGCTGGCAGAAAAGTTGACTAAATAGCGTGTCATTTGTTGAAGGCTAGGAATCTTTAATGAGAGTCGCTGTGTCATCTATATGTAACAGCCATCACAGAGAATTACACAAGTCCCTGTGATGCTGCCGCACCAGCCTGTTGAAACGATTGTATGTTCTGGCTTGACCTCACTGTTCAGACATCCTAAAAGGAGTTGATGGCATCTCTGGGCTTTCTGTTGTTCTACTTTTGAGAGCTGTTAGTCAGCCACCTGAAAGGAGTACAGCTGTGGTTGCCTGAGCTCGGTTCATTGCCTTTCCGTGTTTAAGGAACATGGGACACAAAGGGTTCAGCGGAGGTAGAGAAAAATTGCCTTTGCTTGGCTGGGATTTTGCCTTGTGATGAGAAACAGCTGGAGCTTATTTGAGAGAGCCTGACTTCAGCAATCCTGTGCCCATAGAAATGACTGGCACCTGCATCCAGGGCAGGTACCTGGGTCCGTTAGATAAATATATAGCTGGTGAGTAAGGCAGTTTCTTTTTTAGGCTGGGTGGGGCATATTGAGTGAAGTGTTAGGTGAATAATGAGTGCAGGTTATTGTAGGATTAGGTCTTTCCTCCACCAAGTAACAGGCAAGCCAAAGGCAGGGAGCTCTGAGTGTGTGTGCCAGGCGTATTTTAGGCATGTTACTTTGCTGCTTGGCCTGTAGAGAGGCAAGATGTCTCTGGTGCGTTTTGCTTGCAGAGCACCTATTAAAATGATAAAAGCTGCCTGTTAGTTCCTCTCTCTGCTTTACTTCTTACAAGCTCCTGTAGCCTTTTCTGTTGGTTGTTTTTCCCCTGCTTTGGTCATACTTATTTCTTGCAATCTTGTATGCAGCTCTCCCCAAAACCTTGTGTGGAGGTATTATTTTAGCTCTGTGATGGCCAGTCTGAACTGCTTGAGTTCCTTGGCAGCAGATCTACTGCAGGAGCATGAGACTCCCTAAATACCACTGCATGTAATCTCCATCACAACGTGTGAGGTTAGCATGCAGTGTTTAACAGGAAAAGCAAAAGCAGGGAGAAATTGAAGAGGAGAGAAACATGATCCTTGTGGGTCCCTTCCAACTTGAGATATTCTATGATTCTGTGATGTATTGTACAACCGTGCTATAGAAAGCATCCTAAAACTTAGTATATGGTTTTTAGAGATTAGAAAGAAGAAAATCTTAAGGAGCTGAAGGTGAGGAAGGATGGGTAGGAGGCATTGGTGCCACAGTGATGCTAGAGGAGCTCCAGGACTGCGTAATGATAGATGGATAGTGCAGATAGGGTTGTCTAGCAGTGGATGAAGGTACAAACATGGGAGGTAAAAGGGGAGAATGAGGAAGATGCTCATTTCAGTGGAAGTGGGAGAGGCAAATACATTCTGTAGGGCCTGAAGACTTCTTCAGGTATCTTTGCTTCCAGCATGAAAAGCCATGCATGGAGAGCAAGCCTTGCAGAGGAGATTGCTGGTGGAGTTGGCACGTACAGCCACCACTCCTCCTCCGTGCATAAGCACTACTTCCTGTCTTGTGAGATATGTGCTAGACTTGCCAGGGCTGTTGTGCCCAGAAGGAACAATGTGGTTTTTCATCTTGCATAAGCAACATTTAATTATTAGGGTTTGTTTTTTTTTTCCTCCTGCCAAGTTTCAGGTTGCCTAGTGTTTTGCTTTGCTGAGGAGATCTTCTTGATGAGGGTTTTTGAAATTCCTGTCATACCTGCAGTTTCAGGTAATGGTTGTTCCTGTGTCCCCTCGTCTTTTTCAGTCAAGCAGGAAGAGAGGGGCAGAAGTCTTCTGGAGAGTGAGAGCTCTCTTGTTGTGGTTCACTGGGAAAGTAGCTGTCCCTGAACACATGCAAGTCTCCTAACTGCACTCCAAGAGCTCTCTGATTTAGTCTGGTGGCAGTGTAGTAGTAGTATATATACCACTGGTGCAGAAGGGACGATGTTACTCTGAGGGACTATTTTAGGAACAGCTAGAGACAGATGTGCAGCGTAAATGGAAAAAATAAGCAAGCAGAATATAAATATTTTGTTTCTCCTCCTGATTCTTTCTTTGTGTGGTCCTCTGACCTTACAGATCTACCCCTTAAAATGAAAAGAGAAATGCAAGACTGCACCTTTTCAGCTAAGCTTTCCTCGGGCTATACTTGGCTCCCTTTTCCAAACCACATCAGAAAAGGACTTAGTGTTTTCCTGCAGCCCTTGTTTGCACTGACTCCAGGAAGGCAGTCTGGGGCTGCTTGGCGTGGCGAGTCAGGGCCGTAGCCCCTTGCTCCCAGCCCCCAGCGCAGCAGCAGCAGGACCCCGTTCCTGCTTCAGAGGCATGGTTGGAGCAGAGAGCACCCTGTTGTATTTGTGCTAGGAACGAGTGGTTGTGGATCTGTTTGCAGGCCTGCTGCCCCCGAGGTTTTTCCGGGCAGTAGGTCCTGGAGATTAATTCTCATGGAGGTGCTCTGGATGCGTCTGCGAAGCCAGTGGGCAAGTGGTAATCCCTGAGAGCAGAAACAGTTTCTTTAATGTCTGTTTTCACCCAGAATACTTCTCTTGGTATTTAAGGATTAGTCAGCCACATCTGTGTGTTCCTGTGCAGATGGGAAGCACAGTGCACATATTAAGTGGTCTTAGGATGGAAAATAATAAAAACTCATAGAAGTAGTTACTAGAAGTAGTAAGAGGAATTAAGTTTCTGTTATAAGGCTGGTATAAAAGCTTCTGTCTCTTCTTGGCTTTGATTAAGTGAAGCCACAGAAAATTAAATTCTTTAAAGGCACTATCTTTTCTGTTGTTTCCTCTGCCCAAAAGTGAGGGTTAATCTGCTGGTGGTGCTGCTGATCATCAGCACGTTGGAGAGTGGGAAGCTGGAGGGAAGGACGGAAGGAAGCAACATGACCTCAGACGCAGGGAGTGCTCTCCCGCGCTTCTCCTCCCGTCCTTCCACTGCGCCACATGTGCTCGATGTGCTTCTCAATGTGCACCAAGACTTCAGAAAATACTAAGAGGATAAAGTACTTTTGGGGGAGAGAGGAGGAATAATATTAAACAAACAAGTTTTAGCATCCTCCAGTGGCCCTTGCTATGTTTTTAAAGATTTATGCCAAATGCAGGCTTTATTGGAATTTGATCAGATAAAGCTCAGTTGTTATGGGAATGTCTTTGTTCATCAGTTTTCTTGCCTGCTTTGAAGACTTCATCACATCTTTCTTTTATTAAGGTGCTTCTGTATTTATGAATAAAGTCCCTGCACCCTTCAAAAAAAAGCTTGTCTTTTATGAATAAGCATTCCAAAAAATAAATAGGCACCACCGCAAAGCTGGATGAGTGGAAACCCTCGCAGGGCGAAAAGCCGTCCTTCAGAGAGCGTTGTGGTATTGTTTTTAAGGTATTTTTATTATGTACAGACGGTCAAACAATAACAAGTAATAATTACTTCCTATGGAAGCAGTGCCTTGTTTTGTTAACACATCATAAAGCATCACGAAAAATGCAGCCAAAGTGCTGGTTTTTATCGTCATCATTATCCAAGGCTGCTGGGGGTGGGAGTACCCGTGAGGCTGCGGATGGCAGGGGGGGACATACCACAGGATGTATCAGAGCTCAGGCTTGGAGCAAATGAATGGCACCAGGTTAAAGCCCGGGGGGGACATAGGTTTGCGATGAAGAATTTGAAGCAAGCAGGAGGAGACCTTTGGTCTTTCCATGTCCGGTCCATGCCGAGGGCTCCTGTTGAGCTTGGTCGGGGTCTAGGAAGAACCGTCTGCCCTCCAGACAGTGGTAACCCCCGTTTCTTTAAGGGCCTCTCTCCCTGCTTGGAGGTAAGAGGAGGAAGATGCTGTGGAACATATTACCCCATTATGAGTCAGATTTAAATTTAAACCACAGTCGGTTGTTCAAGTACTTCCAATTCAGACAGTGTTTTGTCTTGTTTTTCAGTTAGGGAATACATTTAGAGCGAGCTACTATAGACTTGGGCCAAATCTCCACGGTGCAAATCTGAGGCAATTTACACTGACTGCAACAGAGCTACTCCAGACTGATCGCCATATAATCAGGAGCAGAGGGGCCTTGCTCTCTTTTCTTGCCAAAAAGTGCCGTCTCTAATGCCACGGAAGAAAATACCAGGAAGCAGGATTTGTGGCTGTGAGCTGGCACAGGATGTCTGTATTACAAATATCACCTGGGGCATTTGATTTTAATTGACTGCCGTTGCTGTGACCCACATCTAAAGTAGTATATTTGGATCTCACAATATATGTATTGCTGTCCTGAAACCAGACTTTTGCGATCTGAAAGGTGACACGGTTATGTTCAATAGCAAACGTGCAGTGCTCTTTGAAGTACCAAACTCGGTATAAAGTGTAGTCCTAATAACCTTCTGCTCTGCCAACCTCCTCCTCCTTCTCCAGCCCCCTCAGCAACAGCTCAGGACCAGAGGAAGTTAATTTGTAGAATATTTCAGTCAAATTGCTGCTTTCTCCTTTTCCCAGAATCGTTTTTTGTTGTTGTTCAAAATACTGTATCCCCTACAAAAAAAAGTCAGTACGCTGGAGACCATGTATAGAGTACCTTTGGCAGCTAATCTGTGAATGTGGGTGAGGGGAAATATTTCTCGCTGTGTCATATGCAC